CATACAATATTGTATCTACCACATATGAAGATAGCTTTACTTCTTTAAAAAAAAAACTTATTTAACTTTGTTATTACTTATTTTTGTTTTAATTTGACCAGAGAGAGTCAAGAGTGAGAAAGGGAAAGTGAGAAAGCAAGTCATCAGGTTCAAGACTTGAACCGTGGTCAGTCATGTGGGAGGCCAGAACCATAACCACCATGCTACCTGCAGGCCCCAAGATAGCTTTACTTCTTCCTTTCCAAACTAGATTTATTTTTATTTCATTTTCTGGCCTGATTTCATTTCCAGTGCCATATTGTACCTCCTGTACAATGTTGAATACAAGTAGAGAGCCTTGTTCCGAGTGGTGGGGCATGCACTTTGTCAACATTAAAAATGATTTCAGTTGTAGTAGGTTTTTCACAGATGTCTTTTTGCAAAATGAAGAAGTTCCCTTTTGTTTCTAATTTGATGAAAAATGAGTGTTGTATTTTTAAAGTTTTTTCTTTATTCATGATAATGTACAAACACATGTAAGAATGAGAGAAACAGCAGGGCACCCTCCTAGTGTCTTGTCACAGCATAATCTCCTTCCTCCAGTCTGTTGGATTTGGGGCACTCTCATGCTTATCTGGCATGTTTCAGGCTGACCACACTAAGAATTCAAACTGTGATCACCATATGGGATCCAGTTTTCCTTGAGTAGCCTATTACACTGTATCATAGAGCTGGCTCCCAGGTGTTGGAAACTGTCAAATACTTTTCTGTTTTTATTAAGATGATCATACAGGTTTTTGAACTTTATTAGTATGATGTATTTCATTAGTTAATTTTTGGATGTTAAATAAACCCTGCATTCCTGGGATAAATGCCATTTGGTCATGACATATAATCTTTTATATATGTTGCAAGATATGATTTGCTAATATTTTATTAAAGATTTTTGCTGGGACCAGCAGTTAGCATAATGGCTATGTTGCTGAACTCCCATGTAGCTGGCTGTGATTCGAGTCCCAGACCTGGTGGCTTAAACTCACGCTGGGCGCGTATGCCTGCATGCCCAAGATCCTGAGGAGAATGGAGAAGAGATTGCGGTGTGGCCATCCCCCCAGGGGGTGATTTCTCGCTTTCTGTCTCTCTGTCTCTGTCTTTCTGGCAAGCGCACATGCCCTATAGCAAACACCTCTCAAAAAAAATTTTTTTTTTGCATGAAAAACTTTTTTAAGAGAGATTTTTGCTATAGGGCGCGTGCACTCGCCAGAGATACAGAGACAGAGACAGAAAGCGAGAAATCCCCCCAGCCCCAGGGAGAAAGGCCATGCCACAATCCTCCTCCAATCTCCTCTGGGGATTTTGGGCATGCACACACATGGACCCAGTGTGAGTTTTAAGCTGCTAGGACTAGGACTTTAACCATAGTTGACTACATGGGATTCCAGGGATGTAATCATTAGGCTATATGCTGGTCCCTAATTTTTTTTTTTTTTTTTTTTTAACCACTATTGGTCTGTAGGTTTCTATTCTTAACCATGTTTGTCTGGTTTTGGTGTAAGGGTAATAATACTACACTCGAAAAATGAATTGTGAAGGCCAGCACATAGTACGGGATTAAGAACAGTGTATAGGGAGCTGGATCCCACATTACCAGCCATGGTTTGAATATCAGCCTCTGTGGCTTAAAAAATATGGTAGGCACGTGTGCACGTCCCAAATCTGGATGGCATGAAATAATGGAGGAAAAAGGACTGTTTTTGCATGTAGACGCAAGTATCCTAAAGAAAACCGAATACTGTGGTTTTTTTTTTATTTTATTGGCCAGATGGTACATGTGCTCACCAAAGACGGGGCTGGGGGCAGGGGGAGAAAGCACTCCCAGTGGGGTATGGCATGCCCAAATCCCTTCTTCACTTCTCCACTTTGCTAGGATTTGTGTATTCATACATATGGGCCCAGCATGTCTCTCAAGCCATGGCTGGGATTCCAAATGCATTCAACATTTGGCTCCTTAACATCTGAGCTATGGGTCTTGCCTGTATTTCAGGTTTTCTATTCTTCCTTGATTACTTATGCTAAGGTGTATTTTTTTTTTAAGTAACTTTCTATTTCATCTTTCAAGTACATAGGCAAAAGCTGGTGTTATCATCTTACTCTATTTTTATGACTCCTTTTGAATTGCTAGTATTATTTGTTTCCTCTCTTGTTCCTCCTGATGGGCCCTAATAGAGAACTACTTAGCTTTTTCAAAGAGCAGGCTTTAAAAAATCGTCTTTACTGTATTTTCATTTTCAATTCCACTAACTTTGTGCTTTATCATTTCCATATATCTACTTTAATTGGGTTTTACCCTTTCAGTTTTTTTCAAGTGTTTTTGTAAAATGTTCAATTCTCATATTTTCTGATTTTATTATAATTTCTTCTTTGACACAAGAATTACTTAGGGAGTGAGTTTACATGTTTCTAAACATGGGAACTTTAAATTATCTGTATTAACTAAACTGCAGAAGTCAGAGAAAATGGTTTGTGTGATAAAAGTTCTTAGATGCAAGTTGTGAGTTACTTTGTAGTCCAGGATATGCTCAACTTTTTTTTAATACTTATTCTAAGTTTGCTTCAGAAGACTGCAGAGGATATTTGTAGGGAGCAGAATTCTAAATATATCTAATACTTCAAGAGGTTTAATAATATTTAAATCTTCTATAGCCTTACTCATTTTATTGTCTATCTTATAACTATTAGCAAACAAGAGAATGGTCTTAACATTTTCCACTTAAATGGAAAAGCAACCCCCCCATGGGACATATTTCTTTTAAGTCTATCCATTTTTGCCTCTTATGGTCTTGGGCTATATTTTTAGTTAAACACAAGATAAGAATTATTCCATATTCTAGAAAAATAAACCTTTTAATATAGTACCTTTTGTCAACAATGATTTTTGTCTTAAGCTCTATTTTGTCTGCTATTAATAAAGCTGTATCTGTTTTTCTTTCTTTTTTAAAAAATTTTGCTATAGGGCCCATGTCCTCATCAGAGAGACAAAGTGAGAGGGAAAGGGACGAAACACTCCACAGGGGGCATGGCCATGCCAGTCCTTTCTCCTCTAGAGATTTTGGGAATGCATGCACATGTACCTGACACATTTTCTAAGTCACAGGGCTGGAACTAGAACTGTACAGTTTGGCCAAGTGGGATCCAACTGCCTTAACCACCACACCAACAGCTGGCTGATAACCAGCATTTTTTTTTTTAAGAATTATTTTATTTTGCCAGAGGGTGCCCATACTTGCTAGAGTGAGTGAGAGTGTAAGAGAGTGAGTGAGTGAGTGAGAGAGAAAGCACCCCTCATGGGACATATTTCCCCCAATGAATCCCTCCTCCTCCATTTATCCCTTCTTTGGGTATTTTGGGTATGTATGCACATGCACCCAGAGTGTTTTTCAAGCTGTTGGGTATGGGAGTCAAACCACACCGTTTGTCCATGTGGTTGGTATCTAGCCGTCTTAACCACCTCTCTACTGGCTGGCCCTTTAAATAATTCTTTCCTCCCCTTTAATGCATCTAGCGGATTGATCATGGTTTATTAACTTTTACCTTTCCACTACTTTGGAAGTTATTATTTATATTCCTATTCAAATTTCCTTTTTAAATTAAAAAAAATTGTTAATTTATCTTTAAAGATAACTAGCTAACAGCTCTATCCTCCAAACAATATGGGTAGTTACAAATCTTTAAAAATCTCACCTCTTTATATATATGAATTCTGAAAAAAACATTTTAGAAATGATCCTGTGTTACTGTATTATCATCTTGCCATATGTAACAAATAATTATTTTAATTATTTCTCAATTTCAACTCTATAATAATTTTTTCTATAAGGAGACATTTTATTGGAATGTTTCACAACACAGGCATAAGTGCATTCTAGGTGGGACAAGTAGTTCACTGTGCAAACCTGTCCTGGGAACTGCAGGATATTTAGAAACTGTGGTCCCTGCCAACTAAATGCCTAATTTCCCTATAGTGACAACCATAGCCATCCCATGCATTATTTCCAAACATTCCCTTCAGGATCAGTACCACTCCCAGTGACTGTTTTAAGGGAAACAAAGTGCAAACATTACATAATAAATAAATTTAGAATTCAAGGACCAAAAAGTGAGAAATGTTTTAGTTTCACAAAGAAAATGGAAAGATTTTTCCTTAAATTCTGGAAACTTATTTTGTAAACCAGTTTTCATCATAACTATACTAGTGATACTCCAAATCCTTCCCATATAATTTTCTATAAAATTTCTAATTGCAATACATACGTAACAAAAAATATATAATTATTTTTAAATTGTTTTCCCTAAAGCCATTTTTTTCTTTTTTATGTTTTAAGAGGTTTTTGCCTTAGGGCAAATGTGCTCATTGGAGAGAGAGACAGAGACAGTTTGAGAAAAATGAAAAATCATCCCCCGGGGGGGATGACCACACCACAATCCCTTCTCCTCCACAATCCCATCTCCTCTGATTTCTTCCCAGAATCTCAAACACGCACGCACATGCACTCAGCAATTTTTTTTTTTTTTTGGAGAGATTTTCACTGTAGGGCGCGTGCGCTCGCCAGACAGACAGAGAGAGACATAGAGACAGAAAGCGAGAAATCACCCCCCAGGGGGGATGGTCACGCCGCAATCCCTTCTCCTCCATTCTCCTCTCGGGATCTTGGGCATGCACGCACACGCACCCGGCGTGAGTTTTAAGCCACCGGGTCCGGGACACGAACCGCGGTCGACTACGTGGGAGTCCAGCAACACAGCCATTACGCTAACTGCTGGTTCCCCACTCGGCAATTTTTAAGCCACTGCGTCTGGGACTTGAACTGTGGTCTGCCATGTGGAAGTCCAGCAACATAAAGGCTATGCCATCTGCTGGCCCCCAATTTTCTTCTTAAAGCTAGGAGAGAATGCTGAATTTGTAACCATCTTTAAAAAAATGTTTTTATCTATAATCCTAACATAATCTCCTATTCACAAACCTGTTAGTGTCCCAAATAATGACATTTCCATCAAATCCTGAAGTTACTAAGAGTCTTGTATTAGTATCATATTCGATGTTCTTCACCCAGCTAGTGTGACCATGTAAAGTGCATACTTTCGTGTTCAATTTTCTCAGATCCCATAGTGCTATTGTAGTGTCATCAGAGCAGGTGGCGAACAGTCGGTTATCAAGAAACCTGCAAAAGCAGAAAAGAAAAACTGATTCACTTAATTTCTTTTTAAAGAAAATTTATTTGAGAAACACTCTCTATATTACCTAGACAAGAAAGAAAAAAAAGGACTATAAACTCACTGCATAAATCCAGTGATTCCAATATACAATAAATAGCAGGTATAATTCACATAATCACAGGGTCAGGATACTATGATTTAATGAGAACCACATCGTAATTTGATCCATTTGCTTTACATTAGTGATTTTTAATTACTGATTTTTATTTGCAACTGGAAATAGGGATAAGCTTTGGAGAACAGTGGTAGAGAGTAAGAAAACAACTTTAGAATCTGTGTAGGAAATGAAAATAGTGAAGACAGAATTTAATAGAAAACAGATTTTGAAGACTTGATTGCTAAATCTTGCTAAAGCATAAAGGTTCAAAATCTGCTGCAAGAAACATCTCTACTTAGAACACATTTGTACACAAAAATTGCTATTCAAATTGCTATCATTTTAAGGCTATTAATTCAAAGGTTTCCCCCCAAATAATCTCACTTGGTGATATTAGGTCCAGTCAAGATTACAAAATAGACTTAATTAAAAATGCTCTATAATTCACTTTTAATTATCTACTCTAATTTCTCAATTGCTAGTGAGAACATATTTCAAATACTTAAATAACAAATGAATTATCTGCCCTTAAATTTCTGTCTAAGTCAATATTAGGATGCTTTTACATACTCTTATATGTAACTTTCTAATCTCTTGCAGATGAAATGGATTCTGGATCTTCCAAAATAAAATTATATATAATTCTTATCAGAAATCACCCTCAATATTCACAAACACTGTAATAACCTTCCTGAAACATCACAGTTTTAAAAGTCCAAGTCTTTACACAGGCTGTTTCCAACACCTAAAAGCACCTTCTCCCTGCCTCTTGATCTGGCTAACTCTTGCTTTCCTTTTGATATTCAGCTTTTATCACCTCCAGGAAGGCATCCTTCTCTCTCTAACCTGGAGTAGAAAGATCAATTGTCTAAGTTCCCAAAGCACTATACATTTCTAACAAAATACTTACATTATAGTGCAAGGAATAACTGTATAAAGCTATAAACTTCTTGAAGGTGGGGGAAATGCCTAGTTCAGTCAGATCTATCGTACTCAACACACATGGTATCAGACACCTATGTACTCAAAAATATTTATTAAATAAATGAATGAGAGGAATTCACTGTTACTGAAGAAGATATTATAAATATGTAATTACGTAAAATAGCAGTGTGGAATAAACTAAAGGAAGACTGGCCAGAAAAGATCTCATAGCCATGTCATTTGAACTGACTTTCAAAAATAAAGAGGAAAAAATAAAAAATAAAAAATAAAGAGGAGGTGAGGACCAGCAGGTTGTGTGGTGGTAAACATTCTCACATGGCTGACCACAGTTCAAGTCCTGAACCTGGTGGCTTGCTTTCTCACTTCTTCCCTCCCTCTCTCTGGTCAAATTAAAATAAATAAAATTAAATAAGTAATTCTTGAAAAAAATTTAAAAATAAAGAGGAGGGGCCCAGCTATAGTGCATAAGTAGCCTACCACTTGGAAGGCTGTAAACCAAGTGGGAGACCAGGGCTCAGTTTCTAGGCTAAGTTGAACATGCCAGGCATGCCTGCATGTGTCTGTAACCCTCGCTAATTGGGAGGCTGGGGCAGGAAGATCATGAAACTGCAAGGTTCTGCCAAAAAACTACCGGCACTTTCTATCCCTCATTTGCTATCTCTTCCTCGTTCATAAAAGAAAAAAGAAAACAAAGAGGAGGTCCAGCTATGGTAGATGCTGCTACCAAGGGGGCTAAGGCAATAAAGAAGGCTCAAATTCAATTCCAAGCCCACTCTAAAATCTGGCTACAGTGGGACACATTTGTAGTTTCAGAAACTCAGGAGACAGAAACAAAAGGCTGTGACATTGCAAGACTCTGTCTAAAAAGTCATTTTTAAAAAATTAAAAAAACAAACAAGAACTATCTAGCTGCCACAGGGTAAGCCAAAGAACAAATGCACATAAGGGAATGGTGTACTCCTAGAAGTAGCAGACATTAAAAGTACTGTGTGTGGGGACCAGCAGTTAGCGTAATGGCTATGTTGCTGGACTCCCATGTAGCCAAGTGTGGTTCGAGTCCCAGACCTGGTGGCTTAAACTCATGCTGTGTGCGTGTGTGTGCATGCCCAAAATACCAAGAGGAAAATGGAGGAGAAGGGATTGTGGCGTGGCCATCCCTCCTGGGGGGTGATTTATTGCTTTCTGTCTCTCCGTCTCTCTCTCTCTGGCAAGCGCATGTGCCCTATAGCAAAAACCTCTCAAAAAAAAAAAAAAAAAAAAGAAAAAAACAACAAAAAAAGAGAACCC